GTTACAGGCCATTAACGTGCCATTTATTATGTCGTTGTATGTCATATCAGCATGACGGTAAAATTCACAGTATTTTACATTTCATTATTCTAATCTCAACAATTATGACTGTTCGCTTTTCGAAAATCTGTAAATGTACCTACTTTTTCGACAACTTCCAAACAACATCGCTCATCACAAGCAACGTAGCAAACTACCTAACAGATTTGGGATTAGTGCCAGTTACTTACACTTATAACGATACTCAAGTAGATGCGACTACTAGTTACGATAAACCAAAGAAACGAGGAATTTGTAAAAAGAAACAGAAAAAATTGAAATTAATTAATAAAGGAGACATAACTTTGGAACTGATGCCTAAAAAAGTTGCAACTCTTAGAACCGGACAGACAATGAAAATTCCAGCACGACTTTATCAATTGTGCAACTTTATTTTAAGAAACGTAGAAGTCAAAGGCATTTTTAAAAAATCTGGTAGTGCAGCTAAACAAGAAGGTATAATTTATAAAATTATTTCATTTATAAATAAATATTTATGTGGTAAATATTGCGAAGACGCCCTTTTCTTAAAAATACAATTTTTTACAAAACTTACATTTTAGGTTTTAGGAAGGAGAGTATTTTTCAAATATATCACCGGAAACCCCATAAATTAACGTTTTTTAAAAACATTTACGTATTAAAGGCTTATGAGGATCATTAAGTGATCATTTATGTAAACTTCATTAGAATTTAGAATTATATCTGTCATGCTCTGTCAATTCAAATATGCACGATGTTGCCAAGTGTCTAATTAAAATCAACGAAAAAGAAATTTAAAAAAAAAATACCCATTTCTATACACTTTAAAAAGCACTTCTATAATTTATTTCCAGTGACATCTGATGATTTATTTATCCATTTTGATTGAATTGTTGTATTACATAATAAGTAAATATTAATATCACATCATCCATAAAGTAATAAACAAAGTACTTTTCGAAAACTTTTAAACATAATTTTATAAGGTTTGTTCCAGCATAAACCAAATCAGTTTGCGTACTGTCAGGATTCTGCGTAGTCTAGAATTCGTGTTCCAACAAACCTTAGACTCAAAAATGTACAAAAACATAGTGTTCCAACACAACCAAAACTAATCACAAACCGATTTGTGTACTGTCAAATCAGTTCCTAGGTCTGAGCAGGAAAGGATTTTCAAGACATGCGCAAAGCCGCAATAAACTAAACATTTCGTGATTGTAATTTGTATCTATTGTCTCTGACAGTTCTGATTTGTATTTGTTAATCGAGTTTAGTCTTCATAATTTTTGTTCATTATCATTTATTTTATTTTATGGTTTATTATTGTAATGGGGCGTCTGTTAAATTTAAAAAATGTGTTCCAACATAATCGAGTTCCCACTTGAGTCCCAATCCCTGACCAGTACCTGACAGGTTGTCAATTACTAGTCGTCGATAGATTGTCAACGATAAGTCTTGGACTGGTTTATGTATTGTTCCAAGATCGTTGTTGGAACAAACCTATAATTACTTTGTATTGTCCAAAAAATTAAAATAGGTGAATTTATTTGGTTGACAAATGACGCCAGCTAGCCAAATTTAAAGACTACTATCAACAAAAGGATAGCTGAATTAGTTCAATTTTTGTTGGGTTAACTTTAACGTCACTCAGTGGATACTTTAAAAGTCATCCCGTTTAAAACTTACATCGATACACCCTTTTTTAAATTGCGATGTTCGAACATTTTTAAATTCAAAAGATCATTTTGATCCACAGAGATAATTAAACACATTTAAAAATTATAGGAGTAAATAAATAGGCAAGTAGTAGGTAATAAATTTAAATGCTATGGCCATGTTATCTAAACATTTTTTTAAATTAAGAAATATTGACAAATTTGAAATGTTAAGGTAAGTTGAAATTTATATACAGAGTGTACAAAAAGTAACGTAATTTCTTTATAAGCTTACCAGAACATACTTATATTACTAGAGCATCTATTTATAAGATTTGGTTACGCTAGTGACGTCTTATATTACATCTAAAGAGGCATTTATTTATAAGCTTACTAGAATATACTATAATAAAAATAACAAAATCAAAACATTCTTAAATTTCTTAAAATTCAAATTCCGTTTATAAATCTCCAAACTTAAAATAAATTTGATATATGACATTAAATAATAGGTTACCACGGTATGTGTAACGTAACCACGGTATGTGTGACGCCACCACAGTAACCACAATACTGTAGCCAAGTATGTTGTGATAAGCTTATAAAAATATGCCTCAAAACAGGCTTGCACAAGATATGGCTCGCGGGTCGCCCCTTTACCAATTTGACCCGCCTACGTCTAACTAAAAATTTTCCAGTAACAAAATTGCATTTATTGATTGCCTTGATATATATCAAATTATATATACGGTAAAACACTGAATAAAACATTGATATAAGTATTTAAAATAAAACTTAATTAGTAACGTTTATTTTAGTTAAGAAACAACTTTTGAAAATAAACTATAAATGATTTTTTTTTAGCCTCGAGATCAACGTATTAGAGCGTTGCACCTGCGAAAATCCTTCGTCTACACCCACCTCATTCCCTCCCCAAAAAATATTTACATCCGTTCTTGGTCCTCGTAAACCTACGTTTTTTTTTTTTTTAACTAGCCCTTTGAAAATCTCAGTTGTGCAGGCCTGCTTTAAAAGTATCTACCGAGTGACGTCACAGTTAACCCAGCACAAATTGAACTAATTCAGCAATCCTCTTTAAATTTGACAAACAAATTCACTTGATTCAAAAAAGTTTTAAAAACTTTTGGTCAACACAAAGTAATTATGTTTCAAAGGTTTCGAAAAGTACATTGTTTATTGCTTTGTAGATGACGTAATATTATTATTTATTACCGACAATGGAACACAATACACTAGTAAACTCTTTGAATCCCTTTGTAAAGAACTAGGTATTCGACAATGTTGTACTTCGCCTACACCCCAAGGCAAACCCAGTAGAAAGAGCCAACCAAGCGATAAAAACAATAATCGCGAAGGTTTGCGAGAATGATCATCAGAAATAGGATTTGGATTTTTCATATCTAAAGTTCGATATTAATACCTCTAAGAGTCAACTGGTTATTCTTGCTCTTTCTTCAACTTTGAAAGCGAGTCAATCGTCCAAGAATATCTGCGGCAAGTAGTAGAAGTAACTGATGTGGTCTGCTGAGGAATACAAATATTTTCACAGTTAAATTTTCAGTAACTGCGCACATCCTCTTGAGTTATTTTGTTCCAGTTTAGGTCTACTTGATACTTTTTCCAGAAACTGTAAATGTTGTCAGATGCCGGCTCCGCAGAAATATCCCTCTCACAAAAGATTATCGCATTTTTAGTTATAGTGTCTTCTTATTTCAGTTACGCTTTGTTGTTGGTTAGCAGTGTAAACTTTATTAAGGTGCGTTTACATGAATACAAAAAGTCACTTTGAAAAAAATAAGATTGCTTTTTACATTTTGTCTACAAATACTAGAACAATTTACTTTCGTACTTTATAAATAAATTTCCCAGCTAAACATTGGTTTTTAGCGTTTTTAGAGTTTTTAAAGATAATCCAGAACAGGGGCAAATTAGTGAAACAGATTCTTTGTTAACAAAATATATTATAATAAGAGGCAAAGAAAATATTTATTGAATAACTCATGTTGTGTATGTAGGTATCGTAGGTATTTACTTGAATAAAAAATGGATGTACTTAGATTCATAAATATATTTCATACATACATTTTGAATAACGGAAATGGAATGGCCACTGACTGATGACAACCCTCAATGACAATTGACATATAAAGAGTGTTCGTTTTTCTTTTAGGAGCAGATATGACAACTCATATACATTTTTCTAATCAATATAATTTTCTTCACAACTAGAGTCCGATTCAGACTCATCACTACTTGCCGTTGTACCTAAATTAATAATAATTGGTCATAGATCAGGAAAATCTAATTGCTTGTATTTTTCTCAATCGAAAAAAAGTATGTTTTTAGTGTGCCTTACATAATTGTAACAATATTCAAAGCTTCTGACCAAGTCTGAAATACATCTTCCGGAGGCGACTTGTTGTTAAAATTTTTTCCTCATATAACCGTTTCTGTGACCACACCATCTCTATCGCGTTGTACTGGCAGTGATATTGAGGAGTTCCTAATATTTTATGCCCATATTCTTCAACATATCTATCTAGGTGGAAATCTTTTCGTGGTAGATTTTTGACGTATAACTTCCGAAATCTGATATTTTATACCATTGATTGGATAAATGTTTTTTTTTTCTATAACCATTTGACCATTTTATCTTTTGTCCAACTATAATATGGAGTTGTTTCCAGGTACTGCGAATGATAACATTATCGATTATAATCAAAGAAGGATGTTCCAGATTAGGTATAAATTTCGTTTTAAACCACGGTTTGTGTCGGCATTTTTTATAAGCCCTTTTTCACTGCCACTATGAACAAATATGTATCGAATTCCATCTCCTGTTTTTTTAATTGCAGTAGCCATCGTTCCATCTTACCAACTTTTTCTGTCACTTCCCTTGCTATATACACACGTTTCATCCATAGATACAAAAAAATTTAGACACAAAATTGTACTTATCAAATTTCACAATTTAACAAAACTTTTCGAATTGGGTCATGCCTTCTTGCATTTTATATAGATAAAATTAAATCATTTTTCAATTAAAACATGCGAGACTTATTTAGAAATAAATACAACAGTATATTCTGTGCTTTACTTGGCAATAAACAAATGCATTTATATTATTTTGACAAAATTATGTAAAATTCACGTCAGAAGCCATTTATTTTGAACAGCGGTACTAGCACCAGCATCTTTGCGGTGAATTAAAAAAGCTCAATTAGCATTGGTTTTTTGTGACCGTATTTCGAGTATGACGATTCGCCTCCTTAACTGTATTCTTCATAGCTGTGACAATTGATATGACAACCTGGCTGTGACAATTGCAGTCATTTTATGTGCAAATTGTGATGTTTACGTCATATCAGCATGGCGGTAAAATTTATAGTAATTTACATTCATAAACTAATCCCACTAATCAATTTTCAATAATTATGACCGTTCCTTTTTCGAAGAGCTGTAAATGTACCTACTTTTTCGACAACTTCCAAACAAAATCGCTCATCACAAGCAACGTAGTAAGCTATTTAACGGATATGGGCTTAGTACCAGTTACTTACAGTTATAAGAGTACTCAAGTAGACGCGACAACTAGTTACGAAAAACCCAAGAAGAAACCCACAAAAGTAGAATTAATTAATAAAGGAGACATAACTTTGGAATTGATACCTAAAAAAGTTACAACTCTTAGAACCGGACAAACAATGAAAGTTCCAACACGAATTCATTATTTGTGTACCTTTATTTTAAGAAACGCTGAAGTCAAAGATATTTTTAAAAAACCTGGTAGTGCAGCTAAACAAGAAGGTATAATTTAGGAAGTTAATTTAGATATAAAAATTATAAATTAAATTATTATGCAACTACAGTTTAGTTACAATTGACATTCTACGGTACCGCATGCTACACAGATAAAAAGGATATCTTAACTGAAAGCAAAACGAATTTAAAACAAGATCGCAATGTCTTTGAATAGGGCCAAATGAATATTATCTTAACTAAAGTCAACCGGTTCATTGAATTTAAGGGTTAATAAATCTCTTAATGGGAGAGAATATGTACTAAGGCCAAAGGTAAATGTCTTGAGTCAAGTTAACAGTGGCGTGCGGTGACATTTTTCGAAGAGGACGCGATTGTACAAAAATCAGCAGGCTAATAAGCACAGCGCCGCAGACGAAATTTTTTTGCAGCGCATTTACCATTTAGTCAAAATCTTGCTTTATTCCTTAGTACTACGGATATTCGAGATTTAAATTTTTGTGTTTATTACCTAGTTTAGTACTAGAAGCTATAAAAAAACTTACCATTGAAAGCTTCCTTGGTTTATCCTTGGTTTATTTAAACGTAAAAACAACACAGTAGTTGACATTTATTTATAATACTTAAGATCTATTCGCCTATCCTCAATGGCTGCAAATTTGTCTATAACATCGTCGTAAAAATTTGAATTTTCTGATAACTGTTTAACAAGCTGTTTTTCAATAGACATTAGGGCTAAATTAGAGAGTCTGTCTTCACTTGTTGAATTTCGTATAAAACTTTTAATGCGCTTTAAAGCTGAAAAACTTCGCTCAACTGAAGCACTTCTGGCTGGGATGGTTAGTACTAATTCACACAACTTGGCGACTTCACAAAGGGACTTATTTGTTATAAGAAAATTTAACACATTGATAAGCGTCTTTTTATCACTAATTTCAACTGTTCCATAAACAACACTTAACTGGGATTTTAATGATGGAATATTGAAATATTTCCATAATTTAATTTTAGTGAATTAAAAGCTTCCGATCGAAATTTTGTTGAATCGTGGTTACTAATATTAAAATTGCACAATTCAACAAACTGGATAATCATGTTAAAGACCATTACGCTTTAAGCTGCCACTATGATAATTTAGTAAAATTAGTAGCTTCTAACTACATCACAGTTCATGATTCAAGATTCCTTACACAATAAAAAAATATTTGACAAAAAAAAGAGCATGAGATCGATATATAATAAATTTATATTATTTAAAGGTCAATAAAGTAAAAAATACTCTTTTGTTATTAGAGAAATATTGCAAATTTCTAAAACGTCAGCCACTAATAGTGACAACGTAATTAGAGGCAAATAAATTCCATGCTAACATAAGACTTATTGCAGTTATTGTCCTTATACATATTTTTCACCTCATTTTAAAAATTTTAAATTACAGTTCATCTTTTTTGTTGTCTATGTCAATAATATTAAAGAGGCATTAGAAACTATTATTTTAGAAGGTTTCGATAATTAAATATTTAACAATATAAAACTTCGAACTGATACGAATGTAGACGAACGCACACGAAAGCTATAAACTTGCCACTATCTACTGCTCTTAAATATCTACAATTAAGAATAGGCACAATCTTTAATAAAGTCAGTTCTAGAACATAAATGATATATGCTCACATGTACGAGTATATGCTCACATGTCAAAATAAGAGCGGCGCTAATAGTAACTGACCTTAAGTGAAATTGCAATATCTTTCTATTGTTATTTTTATTTGATTATACAGAATTAGTTCTTAGAGTGGTAGCGTTATTATATAAGACAGCAAAAAAGTTATTTACCATATACAGTGTCGGCTAGTGAACACTTTCCAATATGCTTTGCTAATGTCGAAGTGAAAACTACAGAGAACACAAAACGAATAATATCAACGATGCGTTGCATTTCAGTGATAAAGTAAAGCAATAAAGGTATTAGGTAGAAGTACAAGTAGAGAATACTCATAAGATCAGTTATATATTTAGTTATAATATGGACAGTGAAGATAAATAGTCAACAGTTTTAAGACATTCGTGTCCTGGATCGACTCTATGTTAAGCGAGAGAACTATACACACAACCCTTATGGGAGAGACAACAGCGGCACGGGTAGCGAGAGGATGTCCACAGGGTGGAGTGTTGTATCCACTCCTGTGGAACCTTGTAGTGGACGGGCTGCTTAGGGCTCTCAAAGATAAGAGACATAGAACCCTGGGATATGCCGATGATCTAGTGATCATGGCACAGAGAAAATACAACACTATAGTAAGAGATCGAATGCAAGAGGCTCTAAATATAGTAACAAAATGGACAGAGGCGGAAGGACTAAACATTAGCCCAAACAAATCTGACATAATAAAATTGCATTCACCCGCAGTAGGAAATTGGAGGGACTAGGGCTTCTAAACCTAAGAGGTACAAGCATCCAGCTTAAGGGGAAGGTAAAATATCTCAGGGTTATGATTGACTCGAGACTTACCTGGAACCAGCATCTAGAAAGAACCACAAGGAGGGCGGAAACCTCATTAATGATGGCAAGGCGATCCTTTGGAAAAAAATGGGGGTTAAAACCAGACATGGTATACTGGCTTTACAAAATGGTGGTGAGACCCATAATAACATACGCAGCTTTGGTGTGGTGGCCAAAGACACAGCAAAGGAAAGCAATAACGAGGCTAAGCAAGGTACAAAGACTTGCCTGCCTCGGAATAACAGGGGCAAAGAAAACAACCCCCATTGCTGCAATGGAAGCACTAATAGGACTCCCACCTCTTCACTATGTGATACAAGGGGAGGCAGGATCAGGTGCTTACATATTAGGGAATACACTGGGAAATCTTGACATTAGGCCAAGTCACATGAGTATCTTAAGGTTAGTGACAGGAGACGTGCTAGACATGAGATCAAACCACTTAACCAAGAGGTACTCTTTTAATACTTTGAGGTTTTAATACAGGAAAGAGTGGAGATAACCATAAGGGAGCCCAATTCCCAACGACAAGAACAAACCTGGTATACAGACGGGTCTAAGACTGCGGAAGGCACTGGGGTAGGAGTATTCTCCAAAAAACCTGATACTAACCATAGCTATGCTATAGGAATATATTCCTCGGTATTTTAGGCAGAGGTATACGTAATTTTGCAATGTGCAAAAACGGTTCCATGACAAAACAGAACTTGACAAAACAGAACAGGACAAAACAGAACATGACAAAACAGAACTTGACAAAACAGAACACAGACAAAACAGAACACGGACAAAACAGAACACAGACAAAACAGAACAAGGACAAAACAGAACAAGGACAAAACAGAACACAGACATAACAGAACACAGACATAACAGAACACAGACATAACAGAACACAGACATAACAGAACACAGACAAAACAGAACATATCGACGCTCTACTGAGAGAAGTTAAAATCACGTAAGAAATTCAAACTTTATTTGTAGATTTTTAAAACAATTAAGTCTTATTGATAGCAAAAGTAAATCAATGAAGTTTGTACAAAAAATAATCTAACACTGTTAACTATTTATCATACAATTGATTTAGGGTAATGTTGCAATATATTTAATCAGGAAATAGTATCAAAACCATCTTTTCTTACGAGAACCCTTACTCGACATAAACAAGGTGCTTATATTCCAAATCCAACAACGGTCGAATTTAATATACCAGAACATTACATGGATGTAATTTTACATGATACAGGTGCCGATGATTCTGATAGAATTCTGGCAATAGTGAATAAAGAGTTGGTTAAAGAATTAAAAAAGAACGTTATTTTTGGAGACGGAATTTTTGATAAAGCACCAAACGTTTTCTATCAACTATATACATGGCACGCTAAGGTTGGAAATTCCCCTTTCTAACAAAAAAAGAATTATTTAAATCGGACACCGTGTTAAAGAATTATCGCTGAACATACATAAAAAAAAATAACGCGACGAATTGAGAACCTCCTCCTTTTTTGAAGTCTGTTAAAAATAAGTTGGAATTTCTACACCGAATGGCCAATCTCCAATAATATAAAAAGTATAATATATATAAAGTAATATAAGTAGTAAAAAGTATCATTTACTGTATTTTTTTTATTTAATTACTAAACAAATTATTTAAGTACCAAAAATGTTTAATTACTCCTTTTTTGTTTTTCTTATAACATTAAAAAAATAAGAAAAAAAACTAGAAAAAAAAAATAGTTAAAAAAAATAAATACAGTATCTTTTAATCATGAAATTTTTCCGAATTTTTCATATTTTTAACTATTCTTTAATTTTTAGCATATATGTAAGAATTATACAAACAATTCCTACACAATTTAATCAAAACATAAGAAAATAAATCCCAATAATATTGTTGTTTAATTATGGCATTTAAAGTATTTACCCTAAGTACTAAGTACCCTAAGTACTAAGAATTAACCCATTAAACGCATTTAAATATATGTATACTAATAGGAGGCGAAACTTTTTGTTAGAGAATTTTAAGAAATACTTACCTAGTTATTATATACTATGTTCTGTTTTGTCTGTGTTCTTTTTTGTCCGTGTTCTGTTATGTCTGTGTTCTGTTATGTCTGTGTTCTGTTATGTCTGTGTTCTGTTATGTCTGTGTTCTGTTTTGTCCTTGTTCTGTTTTGTCTGTGTTCTGTTTTGTCTGTGTTCTGTTTTGTCCATGTTCTGTTTTGTCCTGTTCTGTTTTGTCAAGTTCTGTTCTGTCTGATCACCGCAAAAACGAACAATGAAAGAGCTGTCGAAAATCAGCATATTCAAATAATGTCAGACAGCCAAGCGGCACTTAAGGCCATATCGAGTCAGAAAGTTACGTCGAGGCTGGTATGAGAATGCATCGAAGAACTAAGAACACTGGCAGACCGAAATAGAGTAAAACTATTTTGGGTTCCAGGTCACAAAGGGATCGAAGGCAACGAAAAGGCTGACGAACTTGCAAAAAGAGGGTCAGAAGAAACACCGGAACCAAACACAAACCCAGGAGTACCAAAAAGTACAGTCCGGCGTTTTATAAATGACTGGATTCGGGAACAACATATCAACTATTGGGGAAGCACCCCAAAACAGGCACATGGAAAAGCCTTCATAGGCAGACCATGTCCCAAAAGAACTGGAGAACTACTCTTAATGAATAGGAACCAGTTGAAAGTGATAACAGGGTTTATGACTGGGCACGCCCCAGTAAAGGGACACTTGAACAAAATTGGCATGTACAATGCGGAACTCATGTGCCGACTATGTCACAAGAAACCAGAAACGGCCAAACACATACTGTGCGAATGCGAAGCTCTAGATCGCAAAAGACAGGCTCTTTTTGGACAACCCCAGGTTGATCCAACAATGTATAGAACCCACTCACCAAAGGATCTGTAAAAACTTGTACAAGGTACAAAGGTGACGCTATGAACTAACATAGGGTAAAACACAATAAGCCAATAGGCTTCAGTGTTATTCGGAGACACATAGTCAGACGAGCCCAGGAGAAAAAAAACTGTTGTTTAAAATAAACAAACATCACAATAATTATTTTTTTCCGATTGACAGTAAAGGTCACTTTAAGTGACACTTCTCGGTCATAGAAGTAACACTTTTACTGCATATGCATTAAAAATTTACTTTTTCTTCTCTTCCCTTTTGTAGTCTTGCTCTGAATGAGCACCGGACAAAAAAGTTACTGTAATAAATTAACTACAAAGTCACTATAAGTATATTTGTATAAGAATTGAAGGTAAAAACATTTTTTTTTTTTCAAATTTTTTGCGAGTAATATCAAAATATCACTGCACATGTCCTTTATTTTTATTATTACTACTAAAAAGAAAAAACAACAATTTGCTGAAATATTTGATTGGAAGTATATACAAAAGAATGATGGTGAATTATTTTTTAACCAAACACAATTTTATAAATATTAGAGTCAAAATTATAAAAAAAATACGTGTAGCACTCGGGGACTGCCGCTGTAAAGCTATTGCATACTTTTTATCAACTTATGCAATTATAATTATTTATTTATTTTATTTATGCAGTATTTTTTTTTCTTTGATATTAATTCAATTTTTTTTCTTTGTTATTAATTCAAGTTACACTTTTTGAGCGTGATGACCGATAAAAAAACAATTTTTTTTCTTTTATTGAATAAATGAGAAGTTAATATTGTTTAAAATATTTTTATTACCTTACAATACATGTAGGTTATTCAGGAACTTTTATCATTGAAACTACAGGTTTATGGTAACTGAAATAAGAAACATAAGTTAGAGACTTGATATCCTCTAAATATCTGGAAAATACCGCGTTAATGGTGGTCCCATATTTTGTTGTGGATTCTTGTGGATTATTATTCATTTTCAAATTCAATTTTTTCGAAATTGTGTCAAAAAGAGAGAATCAGTTATGAGCAGTTAGCAGCTAGTCTACACGCATACGTCTAATCGCACGCACACAAAACCGTGCCGAAGTCTGCCGAACTGAAACGACGTTAGACGATGCACAGCTTTCAACGCCGCACCGCTGTGATGGTCGTAGTGGGGGGAGTTAGGTTTATTTTCGTTACGGAATTTCTTGATTCGGTCGCCGCGCTCAAAGCCCGCAATAAAAGCTATGCAACAGCTTAAAAATTTGAATGTAAAACGTTACGAATTGCCATTTAGTGTACCTCGTTCATTTTGCGGGACGTCGCTCAGGTCGTCCCGCAAATATTTACTCGTTACACAAAATAAGGCATTTCGTAACTGGTTACATAAATAGCTATTAATTGACTTCCTTTTATTTTAAATCATTGAACAGTATTTTCCGTAAATAATTAAATGATTAAATCATAAATAATTACCGGCATATAAGTACTAAAACATTTTTTTCTCTTTGAAGAGTAGGCTTATGTCAAATAAACTTAAAATATTATAACGAAAGAAAAGGTAACCCATTTCTAATAAAATTTAATTATTTTTTTTTTTATTTTGTTGTGATCGTAGAAAAAATCTTGTGTGTAATTCGAGAAGAAAGTACTTTGGCTGTTTCGATAACTTTTTGTCTCAACAGCTAAAGTGTTACTTTCTGCTCTTAATACACGAATAGCTATTTTGTTACAATAATTTTATAAATTTTTACTTAGGGTCAAATCCACCGTTGTGTTAAACGAAGTTTAAAATACTAAACTAAGGTTAAAATGACATTTTTATATTAACAAAACACAAAGTTTAAATTACTAAACGGAGATTAAAATGACATTTCTATATTAACAATGTCCTTTTAATCTTCGTTTAATAATTTAAACTTCGTTTAACACAACGGTGGAATCAGCCCTTAATTACTAGCTATACAGGGTGTCCCAAAATTAGACGGTCATATTTTAACAGCGTAATCTAGATCCTTAAATAGAAATAAAAGTTTATATAAACATAGGTCCGAAAACGGTTCGTTTTCGAGATACAGGGTGTTAAAAGTGAAGTACTGATGGCTCATTTTTTCAAATATTTTCTAAAATTTCTTTAATCACTGGTTTTCCAAAGTAAAAAAAAATAAATTTCTGATTTCACAGGCCTACTAATTATTGTTTACACTTTCGAATAAGATAACATCAACTTATCATGAAATTTTCAAATGCCTTTCTCTTGAAAATGGTGCGTCCTAGCAAGATGCAACAAAAGTAGCTTTATTATAAAGAAAACATTGGTTTTCCAAAGATTATAGTCAAAAATGATAAAAACTGTCAACAAAAAAAAACTTAGGGCAATTTTACCCTAAGCCCCCCCTAATTTACCCACCTATGAAGATGATCAAAAACTGCGGGTCCATTAAATAGAGCATAAAAAGGTAAACATTTGTACCAAATTTCACTTAGTTATCTTTAAACGTTTAGAAAATATTTACAAAAGAGTGTCATCAAAACTTCACTTTTAACATCCTGTATCTCGGAAAAGAAACGTTTTCGGACCTATGTTTATATGAACTTTTACTCCTATTTTAGGATGTAGATTACGCTGTTAAAATATGACCGTCTAATTTCGGGACACCTTGTATATTGATAAAGTGTTATTGTCCCCGTCATAAATGAATCGTGCTAACAAATGAAGTCAAAAAAATGTCTCATAATTTTTCATCTTTTAGTTACCTACGAAAATTAGGTACTACAATACAAATATTTAAGTCCGGCCCAGAACATCTCCCTACTCCTTCCACTCAGTTTTTCTTTCTTGAAAAAGTTATTTCAAAAAGTTGTTTATTTTAATGGCTTCTACTACAGTTAAAAAAGTAATCATCCTGTATAATCAGTAGTAATACTATAAGTACTTCAAAATAATCAGGTTATACATCGATAACTTGTTGCATAATTATAAAGAGTGTCAGTTTCACAGTTTAAATTCTGTCAAACTGACACGATTTGTAATTATGCAGGAAGTTTGAGATGTATAACCGTATTTATTTTGAAATACGTATTGTATTTGATACGATTATTTTTTGAGTAAATTAAGTAAATATCAACAATTTATTAATTTAAATACATATTGGTACAATGAAAATAATTATTGATAAACGTCAAAATTGGACGGTCCTGTTAGTTAGTGTATTGTTGTCGATGTGGTTACTACGGAAATGAAATTATTGTAAATATTTTTGATTGGTAGAGCTACTCTATGTATAATTAGGTATTATCGAAATTATACGAGGTAACTTAACTAAATTGAACGTTCTAATTGGTTAAAAGTTATACGAAAAAAATAATCAACTAGATATTACTATTCTCTACTAATACTTTGTATATTTGAATATTTTTTCCTTGTATTAGATCGGCTATACAATTTAAAAATATAATCTAACATTTCTTTTTTGACATAGATATCAAAGCCCTATTGAACAAAGGAGAACCCTTGTCACAAGATGCCAGTGCTGTAGACGTAGCCCAAATAATTCTTCAATTTTTGAAAGAGCTCCCCGTGGCTGTCATTCCAGAATGTCAACATGCATTTTTTTTAAGTTGTTATGATCATGCAGACAGAGAAGACGTTCTAACGCTTGCGTGTTTACTCCTGCCACCTAACCACGTCAATCTTTTGGCATATCTAATGCAATTTTTTGAACAAGTGACTACACACCATAAGAAAAATCATGTGACTTTATTGGCGTTAGGTCCGTGCATCGGACCTGTAATCATGCCCATGAATGCTCCTGAAGATATCAAGAAAGTGGCCGATATAATGGTAATTTTAATGAAAAGAGCTGACTTAATCGGTATGGTACCCGAACTGATGACTCTTGAACCGAAACCACAAAAGAAAAAATGTTCTTGGGTCGAGTCCTTGTTAAAAAGGGCTTAGAGTAACGGTTCTATTATAAAATTTTCCAATCTAAAAATTCTGTTATGTTTTAATCTGCCAGTGTTTAAGTTTCGAACAATTTTAAAGTTATCTACGATTAGCTCTTTGTATCACCATTTTTAAATACTCCAGATATTAGGTCTAAACAAAAAATTCAAAATTTAAATGGAACAAAATGATGACCTAATTTTTGGATAGAAACGATAAAACAATTTAAAATTATAATGAGAGAAAAATGTAAAACTTTATTTTAAAAATAGTAAAAGGTTTTAAAAATATTTTTGAATCTTTGTCTCCTACTATTTTGCAATCTGTCTGACACGGATATGATATTACAAAATAAACATAAAATCGATGACCCCCAATATTCGTAACATGAACTAATTTTGATAGATGTCATTTATGTGTTATAAATTAGAATCCTTTTGTTCAATAGATGGAGCAATATTCCATGTTTAATAGTTCTTTTGTTTTACAGATGGCGTAATAATTTTATTAATTCTAAACGGTAACTGTTATAAAATAACAAATTCATCACCCCTATCCACTACGCGATGATAAGTAAACGAGTTCTTGTCTTTGGCAAATATTTTTGATGTAACAGGTACCTAAATAAAAGTTTTGGATTAGATTCGGGACATCGGTATATTTAATTAGTAGTTCATTCTTGTGTCCAGTCAACAAAGGACGAAGGTCTTCGTATCATTACGTAGGAGCTTATTATACTATACATGGTGTTTCGTTAAGAATGGGACATAGAATACAGTTCATAAAATTTCTAGAGGTGTTCGACGCCCAGACAGAGAACGCGCTACGTGTGACTAAGATAGCTATTGTACAGTCTGCTAAACAAGTTATTTTAAATAGTTTTTAATATTTTTAGGTAATTAAATTTTAAAAGTGTGGAATAGTTTAGGGATTAAATTGGTCTGATTGGACTTTCTTAGAACGTTTTTAAAAGCAGCTAAAGATAGTATGTAGAATTGAAAATAATTGGTGTTTTGGAATTCCTTCAACCTTTTGAAATTGAGTCAGAAAATATAAATTTTATAGGATAGCGGAAAATACCTGTAATTTTTTTGTAGGCCTTTGTAAATCGTGGAAATAGTTTATATTTTATTTCTACCTTATTAAGGAAAATGGTACCTATTATTAATAACGGTTGTTTCTGAAACATTACTAAAATTTTCGAAATTTTGTTTTTCTACAAAATAATAAACTATACTATTTAGAAAAAAATTTATTTCTCTTATAATTTTACAAAAAAATAACAGGGGAATATTTACATTTCTTGATCTATTAAACAAAACGATAAATTATCTCGACGAATGACACCATGTTCTAGTACGGAAGCTAGCTTTACATTTTTGTTGGTGGTTTCATGGGTTTCATATCAATTTTTTGTAATTGTAGTTTACACGTACATATACCTCTTAACACTTGTTTGCTTTATTAAAAAAGTGTGTTGTTGTGATTTACGTCGAAATAAGTCAAAAACAACTTGAAACCCCATATAAAATCAAAAAGGAGAAACGGAAAAAAATTGAGCCTGTAAATGAACACAACTCAGAAACAAAAATAGCTATCTAATAATAAAAAAATAAAATTTGATTCTTGTGCATCTTCGTTGTAAAAATAGATAATACTTTTTTGATCTTAGGTACAGATATAATTTTAATGGTCTTCCGAAAAACTTTCTTCAGTTTCCATATCAGATTCAAAATCAGTCTCACTGTCACTGTTTAGGTTAATTATAAATCTATCAGTTGCCTCATCCAAAGTAACTTTCTCTGTCATAAAATTTAGATTCCCACATTTTAGCATTATTACAACGAGATTGCCACTCCTCTTTAGAAAACGTATCAAAAAAGTCTTCACACAACAGTTGTACGTCTTGCCTCTTAAATGTAGTGTTGTTACTAGCTACATATTGTTTCAATGATGCCCACACTAATTCGATCGGATTAAGATCGGGATGATACGGTGGCAAACGAAAACAACTAAAACCATGTTCATTTATCATTTCTTCAATTGCATACCTCATAAATCGTGACTTATGCAATAGCACTAAACTGTATAATTGCGTTTTGAGCATATCCTCTTCGTAAGCAATATTATGATTCCTTAACCAATCCTGCATGTCAGCTTTTTTAGAAGTTGACGTTGGTGCTTTATTTACCTGGACATTATGGTAAGGAGCATTATCAACAATAATGACGCTTCTTGGAGGGAGGTTCGGAAACAGCTTTTCTTTCAACCATTTAGAAAAATTATTAAAATTCATTTCATCGTGGTATTCTCCACTTTTGGTTCCAGATTTGAAAATTAACCGGGCATTCGGAATAAAGCCCATTTCAATTCCTGCATGGACAATAATTAGTCTATCACCTTTATTAATTGGTTTCTTTAATCCCTCATTTGAATTATCACTCCAAGCTTTCTGGTGTGTGTGGGAGGCATGAATGTATGTTTCATCTAAGTAGACAATTGGACGGCCCTCTGCTCGATAACTTTTTAAACGAATCAGATAGTCTAAACGTAGCTTTTGAATATCAAACCTTTCCATTAATATTTTTCTGTTTGTTTTTGTTTTCCGCCAACGAAATCCTAGCGACTTTATTATTTTTCTTAAACTTTCATAGCTTCCTTTGTACCCTGTAGCTTCTCTAAATTTAGTCAGAATTGTTTTTAATGTTGGAACAATATTTTCCGAGATTAACATGAACAGAATAATTCTTTTTAAAATACCTTTGTCAGCTTCATCTATATCATTAACTGTTTTTGGTTTTTTAATGGTTTTTCTTGGTGATGAAAATTCCGATATCTCACGGTTATCGATTCTTTTTTCTCTCCAGAAATGCGGACGACAGTGTTTTTAGATACTCCTGTGGCTGCAGCAACACGATCATTTTTAAATGGTATTGAAGGTGAATTAAAGTTTTCTTCTCTTCTCATAAACTCTATAACATTGGCTATTATTTCGCGAGATTGACTGTTAATCACGCGGCCTCTTAATTTGCTATTAAACTCCATACTAAGGTTCTATTAAACTGTAATGAGCAAAAAACACAAACGAAAATAAAAGAAATGTTTTAGCGAAATTTACATCTGACATTTACGTCTGAATAAAATAGTGAAATACTTGATGCGCAGAGTGTACTTTCATTGCGTAAATCCGTCGGCCCCGCCAACCGATGCCTCTCAGTAGTGCTTTCTCTGTCTAGCCGTCGAAAGCCTCTAGAAATTTGATGAACTGTAACTGACGATTCTATGATTAAAAATAAGACAACTAAACAAATCATGTTTGAATAAAATGTTTCTCGTTTCCAAATTATGGTGTTTTAAAATCGAAAAAATATTTATAGCTATATTTTTTTTATTACTCACAACAATTTTACTAAATTTGACAAACTTTTTTGGTGTCATAATATCCACCTATCAGCAAAAAATTAGTTATTTCAAAAAGTTATTTAAACATAAAATTTTTTGATGTTTTTTAAATAAATAATATACTCTTCTTAGAAATTTAATAAAAAAAATCGAAATTTAAAAATTTCAGCATTTCCAAATGTGTGCTAATATCTGAAAAACTAACTCAACTTTATTTGAAAAACATCAAAAGTTTTTGGAAAGTGGACTAAAATTTAGAAAGGGAAAATGACATACGCCACTGACAAAGCTTATTTAACTTATTTTTCTGATAGAAGTATTTTATTACACCAATAACATTTGCCGAATTTAGTAAAATTAAACTAAGTAATAAAAAAATTGTAGCTATTCATAATTTTTGATTTTCAACTTTAAAACCCTGTTTTTGGAAACGAGTAATGTTACCTACGGATGTTTCGTTTAATCGGCTTATTTCTAGTTAGTTTATCTTCAGTATACCGAAAGGTCTTGCAGCCAAAGAACCAAATAAAAAAAAGAAAAATGTAATAAAAAAAGTGTTTTTATTACCTTAGAGAGTTATCGAAAGGTATCTTTTGTACTTCCTTTAATAAAGTTTCTTTTATTTTGACATATACGCATGCGCATTCACTGATATTTTATGATCGTCTTTTAATAAAATATAGGCTTTCCTTGCTGTATTTAAATAAAGAAGAGGACTTTTATTTAAAAATTCTCTTATTCTGAGAGTTTTTCTGTCATTCTGTCAAATTTGTTTTAATTGACAGTCAATAATTTTATAACTTCCTGTTTATTTGTCATTGAATTGCTTGTGTGTTACTTGCATAGCCCTCAGAAGGTCTAGATACCGCATCGTAAAAACATTTTGACCCCCCATATGATGAGCGCCATGATAAATAAATGTCAATAAATTTTAAGTTGGCACTACTGACAAGACAGAATCGGCGCGAGTTTAGTAATAAGCGTAAGATCGGCGTTCGACGTATAAAATCGATTTTATTATCTGTTGTGTTTATTTTGTTCTTCTAGTAAAGGTTTTATTTAAAACATTATTTTTTAGTTTAGTCGTTTAGTGTTTTATTTTAATAAAAAACATTTGTGGTTTGGTGTTAAATTTTTACAGGATTTTCAAAATCTCTTTTTGTTTTGTACGTGAATGTAACAATGCATCTAACGGTAGAAGATACAAGGAAGGAATAACATTTCATGTGTAAGTTTTCACAAATATTTGTGTATTTACAAAATCAAATAATTTGTATGTTTTGTTGTAGCATACCAAAAAATGTTAGGAAAGAATAACTGATAGCCATAGGAAGACCATTGAATCATTTTGTGACTTTAGTATAAGCCCAGAAAATTTGGGGATACTAGCTGAAACGGCAAATGTGTTATTGGCTCCTTGTTAGTGACCTATTGTACAATTTTTCCAACACAAGTTCCATGATCCTTTGAACTTGGCTGCACCGTACTGATGAAGACCAATAGTCAGAAAAACGTGTCGACCGTTACTTCTTTTTTACTTTTTTTATTCGGAAAATGTCCACTATTACTACCTTGATACAACAATATTAGTTCCGTTCTAAGTAGGTACATATTATAGTTTGTATGTTTTATGCTTTATTTTATTATATGTAATAAATGATAGGAAATATACTTTTATAGTAAATAAATTGATTAAAGCAATATGTAAGAATAAGTTTATCTAAGGATTAAATTGTTAAAGCAATTTTTCATATCCATTGTTTATTAATTTGTTTCATTTAATTCATTCTTATTGAGTAAGTTATTTCATATAAATATGCGATACTTGTAAAATGTAATATTTTCTTTTAAATATTATGTTCGTATAAAATATTGTTCAGTTAATAAAAACAGAAATATTTTGTCTTTTATTCAAAAAAAGTTTGTAAATTTTTCAAAATATATTTACCTACCCCAAAAAAAGATTAATAAAACCAGTTAGTCATATACACATTTTCTCTATATTTATAGAGGTACTTTTTAAATAGCTTTCAGTACATTCGAAATATGTGGTTTTATTAAACTCAATGTAACAAATAATAATAGGTATTCTCAAAAATATTTAAAAATAAAATCGAGATGGGACTCTTGTATAATTTAGTGACTATTCGCCTATGGTTAGTGCACTGTTGTATGTCCCTGGGTTTTCTACATTAGAACAATACTGCTTCTCCACTCTAGCAGTATTTTTTGCATCTCAGATTATATTTATTAAAAAACCAAGGAATTGTTTTGGGCCTATTGCTGTGCCCTTTCCCAACATTCCCAAAGTTTTTTTTTTTTACTTTCTGCTGATTGGATCTCCGATAGCGACAACTCCATTTGTTGTTCCACTAGTTTTTTATCAAATTTTTAAAATAACTTCTATATATTTATCTTTTGCAATGACTTTGCTTACCTGCTTCATATTCTCTTCCCTATGCCCCAATTTCTCTAACAGGTGAGATCTTATACTCGCTCTATTAAATCAAATTATCATTATAGTTTATTTGAAAATGCTTGGTAGCACAGTTTTTATGGCAAAGGTCCATATTTTTATATAATTTTGCTATTATTCATTTTCAAATAAACTATAGGAATAGGAGTAATCTATTAGTTTTTCTAAAAATACCTTGTTACCGATGTAAGTATATCTTTCCCTAGTTAAAAAATTCGAGTTTTTATTTTCATAATATAATATAAGTAAATGACCGGTTAACAATCACATTCTTTTAAATAGTACATTTGACATTGAAGTAGGTATTTTCTCCATATTGCCAAACAGGAACAGATGGTTTACTTGTAATTTGAATTATATTACCTACATAAATCTCACTGAATTTCTCTATAATTCTTATAGCAACATGTACACAAAACACTTATCCAATAATATATATAACCATGTAAAAATAACATTTCAAGAAAGAGAAAATTTATAAAACCGGTCCTGTCTGAACAGATCTAGGAAAATCAAATAGGTCTGTCAAAGTTTTGTTCTTAAATTGAAATTAGAAATTGTGCGTCTCACCCACTTATAACTAATAACAAAGTGCAGATTATCGTTGTTCACGTATTACAGAACACACAAACTAAAAATCAGTGTAACCAAAACATAAATTTACCTAACATGGCGACAAGCTTGAATGGGGTCATTTTTTTGTATTGACAGCATACGCCAAGCGATATCTAGACTTTCTGAGGGCTATGATTACTTGTTATTTGTGTTTTTTTTTTATAATTCCATTGATTTTTTCTTAAATATGACTGCCGAAGGGGAAAAGAAACGCCTTCGATTTACGTATGAGGACGATATAGTTTTATTAAGAGAAGTTGTTTCACGAAATCCTTTTCAGAGTAGTGACTTGTGGGAAGAAGTAAAGACCAGTGTCTTTCAAGTTACAAAAAAACTCTTTAATATTAAGACTATTCGCCAGCACATTCAGCTACTATTAGATCAATGGATCGAAAAAGAAAAAATAATTAAAAAAGGTATGTACATAACAGTTAAATAGGTGCACATTTATGCAAATTATATTATTTCATTAGGCAGTTCAGGAGTTGAAAAGCCCTATTCAGAAAGGGATGTGGAAGAAGACAAACAAATAAAATGTACCAAACTACAAAATAAAAAAGCACAGAAGATGATAACTGAATCTGCAAAAGAATTGCGAACCGAAATGGCTGTCACTTTTTATGAAGCCAATATAAATAATTATACACATACTTTGATTTTCTTTTACTATACGGAGAATGGTCGCACTGCGCAGCTTTCTGAGTGCCTTTTAAAAGGAAATAGAATACTCCGCCATTTTGAACCCTTATTACGTGTTGCCTACATCTTGGCGCAATATTTTTAATAGGTGCGTTTTAATCATCCGCTTCTGCTTCGGAATTGTCGGTTTTCTTGTTTTAATCTGACAGGTTAAAACGACTAAACCGACAATTCCGGAAGCAGAAGCGGATGATTAAAACGCACCTGATATTTTGCTTGCTGCTGTCAGTGTCAGTGAATATTATTTTTGAAGTCACAGTTTTTTGCTAAAGAATCAGTTAGCTCACTCGGACCAGTTGAAAGTTCCAAAATAACATCCACTCCAGGGATACAAATTCAGGATACGCAGAAGACTGCTGTTTTATTATAGGCGGTTGTCATATATTGTATTATCCGAGTTGCACAGTGTATAAACTGAAACATTGAGATCCAAAGTGCCGACGCAGAGTGAGCGATCTGATTCTTCAGCTGTAAACTGTGTCACAGGGTTCAAAATGGCCGCGCCCTATGTTGGGCGTGTCGGACCTCTCTCTTGCCTCGTATAGTAATCAAAGTATGTGTAATTATATCATTGATCACAATTATGTCTCAAATTCTCAAGTCATAATTGAAGAATGTGATATGAGTAAGTTGGAAATTTAAATGTATTTAAAATGTCAATAAAAATTACTAAAATCTACTTCTACATAAATGTATTTGATTCTTACAGATGAAGACTTTGAAATGGCTTCTACCTCCAATAAAAATAATGTTCAACCTTCCAATTCTATAGTAGTGGATGAAATTGCAAATGAAACCCCCAGAAAAAAAGTATGCCCTAACACCAAAAACGTTTTGGGTGAGTATACCTTCAGTTTGTAATTTTTAAATTCAATATAATTGGTTGAAAATAAATAATTGTGTAAGAGTAAGCTGTTAGTATAACATGTTTAACCTTTTTAGGCCCTATAAGAAAAAAAAACCAAAAAAACTACATACATGAGAAAAACAGGTTTAGATTATTTAAAAGAAAAAAATTCAAAGGAACTGGAACTAGAAGAAAAGCGCCTAAATATAGAAGAGAAAAAAGTTGCAGTATCTGAAAGGAGCATTTCTTTGGCAGAAAAAAAATTAGAGTTTGAAAGCACCACTTTAGGAACAGCACTGTTAATTAGAACCCAACAGTGAATGTTCGAGTGGGGAATCCTGCCAAGGCATCAGAATTAATTTTAAAAAATTATACTAAATATAAAAATCCCGGCCAACTGTGGGATTCGAACCTGGGACCCTTGGATCCACAGGCAGACTCTACCACTGAGCCACCCACCCCTGCATGATCTATTAATTTTAGAAAAAAAGTAACTTTACATAAAAAGTTATGCATGGTCTAAATCCTAAAATTCAATCATCTGATATCAAATTTCATCAGTCGTATACAGGGTTTGTCGAAAATAAAGGTATTTTATCTTGAGCAAAATCATATTTTTTGACAAACCTTGTAAAACCGACTGATAAAATTTTATATCGGATGGTTGCATTTTCTGTTAGACCAAGCATAAATTTTTATGAAGAATAACTTTTTTTCGTAAAATGAATAATAAAAAAGTTTTCTATATGCTGTCAACTTACATAGACATACTGTGTGTATGCAACTTATGACATATTGCTGAGATAATGTTTTTGTAAAAAAAAAAGAAATTAATCATAAAATGTTACTTTATTTGTAGAGTCGTAAGATCATTTGAGGATTTTCCATGCCCCAAAGGGGGTATTTTGCATATTAACAACGCCACATAGCGTGAAATGTGCTTCATCGGTCATGATCAAACAGCATCAAAAATCAGGTTGACCAGCAAGGATGTCCTGCATATTGCGACCGTATTGGATGCGACGCGGCCTATCAATTGGCAATAATTGTTGAGCGGTCTGCATTTTGCAAGAAAAGGCGCGCAAATCCACCCTTAACAACCGCCACATGGACATGGGGGACATGCCAAACTGCTGAGCACGGTGTCGGACCGAAATTTTTTGACGCTCCGCTACGTCGGCACTTACGGCTGCTATTACTTCCATACTCTGTCTAGTACGCGACTTATTCCGACAGACAGATGTTACCAAAGATCCTGTGGTTTTAAATTTTGCAACCAACGCACGAATAGTCTTCGGAGTAGGCGTATTCTGGCCACGATGCCTCGCTCTGAACGCGCGTTGAGTCAGCGTAACAGAGGAGTTTTTTTGAAAATAAAGTTTTACAATTTCAGCACATTGTTGTGGTGTCAGGTGGTTCATTGTTAAAATTGTAGTGGACGTTTCTAAAATATTAACAAACATGGCGATCTGTCACCTGGTTGTCAACTTATTTGAAAAAAACATCGAAGATCACTATAAGATACACCCAATAAGTATATGAAAATCACGAAACAATAAAATGCGGCATACACATGTATCACTGTTTCAAAAATTGTTACCTTTAAACAATCATTCGCCTATTAAAACCATCTCTAAAACAGAGTGGCTACATTGTTTTATAAAGTGACATCTTCTTAAAAATAGATGAACTACACAATTACAGGTATTCATAGAAAATCTCTAATTTGACAAATACAATTATCAAATATTTGTGAATCGTATTTGCACTTAGCTTTGAAAAATACCCAATAAAATTTAGAAATATTTCGGCGGGATACTTGGAAAAATATGTAGAATGAAATCTCCTACTTTTTAGCTCTGGTTTTAAAATCACTTTTTACGATTTTTTTTTTAAATTCAGTGTATAAGCAGGACAAATAAAAAATAGGAGATTTTATTATCCAAACCTTATACTTTAAGCTGGTAGAAGAATCATTTAGCGGGATTTAAATGCAATCGGAAATGGGGAACCTTTGCTTCTTATATAGGAAAAATACAGTGAAACTGCGGCCTTATATACGTACCTACTTATATTTGTACAAATAATTCACCTTTATTTCGCTTTATTATGTAATCAGAAACAACGAAGAAGTGTTGAAAGGATTTGGTAGATACATTTCATGTGAAATTACAGAGAGCTGTAGTTTCAAACCTTTAAACTTAAATTGTGAAATATTAGCAAAATGTAAAATAACGCATGTCGTGTGCACTAAACCATCGATAGAGGAACTTGTCATGTTCAGGGGCCATGTCTCTGTTGGTTCATTTGTTTTTTCTAAAACATTTTCCTACTCTGCTTCACTCATAGTAGCGCGACTTTCTAATTTTTTTTGTCGCTAATCTTTTTAGAGACATAATGTATATTGCCGTGGGCCTATTTTGTCTGAAAGTTTAGTATGAGCTTTTTTTTTTCAAAAGATTACTAATTTTGACATGAAATATATCAAATAATATTCATATAGTTTTTTGGTTGCATAATAGTATATTATGCAACGATCATGTAATAACCATTACATGAGAGTTGCATACGCTATTTTTTCTACACCCGATAAATAATCAAGACCTATAAATATTATATTTATATTGGTATTGAACACAATAACAGTAATTACTCGTATTTCTATAAAAAATTCTACAAAATTGTAATTAATGGTATTACTTCAGGTATTGGTATTTCCCTAGATTTTTGCGGTAAAATATTTTGTACTGTATTTTCTGCTTTCTCCGATATGTGTGGAGGAGTCTTCTATATCGCTAATATCAGACATTTTAATATTATAATTATTGAAGTTTAGCTACCTACGAAAATTTAATACGTTTTGACAACTAAAATAATTACATAGGAACCTAGGACAAACGTCAAACAGCATGCTTGATTGAAAAATTGTAGGTTTCTATTGATTAAAAATCTGTATCGTAATGAAAAATCTGTATCATAATGGGTATCATTATGAAACGGATTATGGGCATATAAGTGCATTATTATAATACGGGTGTAGAAAAAGCAATTTAGAGACCGTGGGTTTGGGGAGCGAACTTGATTAAATGACTGTGGCAGTTTATAAACTCGACTTTCGAGTAACCTTTTATTTTCTGTATAGTTGGAGGTAAAGATATTCTCTCTTTCGGCTCAACAAGGGTAACCCAGGGACGGGCCTAATTATTTGTATGTTACGCTATAAATTTAGTTTTAAAGGCAACAGTTACGAATTTGATCCCAAATAAATTCACAACTTCAATATCGCCATGAAACTATATTATTTCATATATTATTTTATTTACTTGAAGTATTTAAATATTACGTTGAATATTAAAAATCAATGTCTGAACAACTGTTCTTTGTTATCTCTTATTATAAAAAAATAAAATTATTGTGGAATGTATTAGTCTGGCTGTAATTTTTAAAATGATTGAAGTATGCGAGCATTCTCAACACGTCAAAGTTACATTCCTACTGAAGGAAAACAGGAACAATACCACGAAAATCAAAATCTTTTAGAACTATCATCTTTATTTGACGCGTCACTCTGGTTTAAAATGCAAGAATGAGCCGGAAATATTCGATTGTTATTTTCAATTTTGGTAACACGAAGAACACAATTGGAGATATACCTCCAACAACTTCTCTGATAAAATCTAAAACGGTTTCAGACAACTCAGGATTAACTTTTTCTGACCTCCCTTTTGATGTTACTCCAAATTAATTATATGGCATTTAATGTACGGTGGTAAACGTATTACAGTATTAACGAATGCCGTAGCCATCTAATCCACAACATAGCTAGATTTGAGATTAATGCCCTTTAATATTACAAAAAAATATTTTTTTAAGCTATAGGTGGATATGATACACCCATTTTGTACAAAAACGCAGAAATTACCTTTTTTATAGCTTTTCTTTTGGATTTTCACTCGTTTGACGAGAGTGGTAAGGGGCATTATCCATTATTTTAACAGCATTTGGTGGAAAATTAGGAATTAATTGTTCACCAAACCATTTCTCGAACAAGGTAGATGTGACAATCTGCTGAATAACTCAAAATATTCTTTGTTGATAATAGCGAACAATTCGACACAAAACCGTTTTAATTACCGGAATATGTAATATTATAATTCATTTTTTTTTCTATTCATTCATAGAACATTTAGCAGATTGATCACTCCAACCTTTTTTTCACAATATCATGAGTATCGTACCAAGTCTCAAGATACACTATGAATATATCTTGCCGACGAGCTTCATCTATTCTAGTGAATATTGTTAGAAAAATTTTATCCGTGTCAATAACCGCATACATTCAGTGATAAAAATATGTATATACAAAACCAACGGATGTTAATAACATTATTTCTACACTTCAAAAAAAGAGGAGGTTCTCAATTCGTCGCGATATTTTTTTTTATGTATGTTCAGCGATACTTTTTTAACACAGTGTCCGATTTTAATAATTCTTTTTTTGTTAGAAAGAGGCTACTTCAGGGGTAGTCCCATATAAATTTGGTCAAAATCTAATAATTGGGTCCATGAGAAAATCCTCAAACTCTTCATTTTTTATGTATGTTCAGCGATAATGCTTTACCACCTTGTCCGATTTATATGATTCTTTTTTTGTTAATAAGGGAGTACCTCAAGGGTGGTCCCATATAATTTTGGTTAAGATGTGGTGATGGCATCTGCACGTTTTTGAAGTCGGTTTTTTTAAATTTTTAATTTCTAATACTTGTTTGAAAAAATAGTCAATTACTTTATCTGAAAAAGTAGTTAACTACTACGTAGGTAATAACTACTGTTCAACCCTGCAAGTACATTCGACAGTTTAAAATATGGCTTTATAAAAAAACAATATTGTTTAATACAAAAATTTCTAAGGGTAAGAATAATTTTTGAAAAAACTTACAACGTAATCGTGCTTAAATTCAGTTTCCATCCTACTGAGTCGTCTGAGGTCCCAAGACAATTCAAAAGCTGTTAAAAGAGGATCATTAGAAGACAGCGAAATTAGAGAAGGCGAAGATAAAGCTCTATAAGCGTTAATTCTGGACTGGGAATGTCGAAGAGAGTCAGCTCTGCTGGAAAACACGCATTCGTCACAGCCACATCTAAAAATTTTAATCAATTAATATTGTCGACGTTCTGTAACTGTAAAGTATGGAGGGTGTGTTTGTTTTTATTGTACTTAGGCCTCACGTGGCCCGTTGCCCATCCTTCTGAATTGATATGCCTCTCTTGGCTCGTCAACGCCTACAGATTTAATAATTGACAACATTGCCGAGAGGTGCCTTTGGAGTCATTCCATACAAAATCGTCTGAAAATAACAAAAATTGTTGCCGATTTATTTTAGATTTTGGTGTAACTTTAAGGAACTATTTCTTATGGTCCCAAAGAAGAAAATTTACACTAGTTTGATTTTTATGAGCACTCCTTTCCACCTATTTAAATAAAGACTTTAAAAAATCGATATTTTTAAACCTTATCGACTTTTCCTCTGAAATTTTTCTTTTTGAAGATAACTACATTATTAAAGCGGAATTCTGGGGGGGAAAGACAGTAGTTTAAGTGTAAGCATCGTTAATTTGCTCAGTCAATACCTCTGATTAACGGCAGCGTGCTGAAAATGAGAGTTTTTTTGATAATTTTTCGTGAATTTCAATCGACTCTTGCGTCTTAACTGCTAGACTTAGCAGCTTATGTTCCTCAGAAATTAAGTGTATATATCACAGATAAAATACAGCCACAAGTCAATCTGAGCAGCCCACTCTTTGCCAAAAAAACTTTGCTTGAAGTTTTTAAATTTTCAAAAATTGCATTATTCAGGTTATATAATGAACGTGTTGACTGCCAGATAAAAATCTGAAACTCTCAGAATCTACTATTCTTACCTTTAACTTTAAATGACCGTACCACTTGTTTTGTTATTTTTATGCTTAGTGCATATGCGAGTCGTTTTTTACAGCAAAAATCAACTAATTTTTTTATTTCTTTCCAAATAACTAGATGCTTCTATTTTGAAAAAAATTTCGACTTATGTATAGGATTCTTATATATCTTTATGTATGTATGTAGAGAGATAAGTTTATCTTTATAATTTAACTCTATCGCATTTAAAAGTAAATAAAAACACTGGTAAATTTATGGAAAGTAAAAAATTTTCAAAAGTAATTATAAATATTATTAATTATATTTGATGTTATTGATTCTGATATATGTGACGAATGTGAATTATCATCTGAAATTAATTTTAAACAACGGGTTTCTACTGATCGTTGTAATTTAATAACTGTAGTCAAGCCCGTTGATGAATTCAAAGATGACTTGAAAATACAATTGATAGCTTTAAAATCTCATCATTTCATTTCCAAAAAACAATCAGAGTACTTGACAAACCTGAAAGAAAATTTAAAAGACAATTCAGAGTGTACAGCATTTATAGTTGATTTCTCAGAAAATTATTCATTCATGGTACAAGATGAAGTACAATCTTATAATTGGACAAATAATTAAGCTACTTTACATCCATTTGTAATTTACTTTAAAGAAGACGGATTACTTAAGACAAAAACTTTGTGTAATTAGCGATTATCTAGCTCACAGTACAGTATCGTTTTTCACGTTTTAAATTTTTTTTATTGATTATATCAAAAATAGTTATCCGGAGTTTAAGAAAATTTATTACTTCAATGATGGATGTCATCATGAAGCGGATTTTGGACTAAAGGCAGAATGGCATTTCTTTGCCACTTCTCATGGTAAAAGTCCATGTGATGGAGCAGGCGGTACAATCAAAAGGAACGTAAGAAGAACAAGCTTACAGCGAACTACAGATCATCATATATTAAGTCCAGAAGCAATGTACGAATTTTGTTCTAATCAAATTTCTGGTATATTTTTTTTTGTATCGATCCAGTACGTAGAAGCTGCTGAAACATTATTATCTGAAAGATTTATAAATATAAATACAATTAGATCGTATCATAGTTCTATACCAATTTCTCAAAGTCAATTAAAAGCGCGAAAGTATTCAGATTCTAATAATTTTGATATTGTTAATGTTGTCAAACCAAAACCTTGAATAAAAAATAATTTTCTAGTTAAAAATGTTATTAATTACTGTCATTTTTCATAATTATTTTTTCTAGAGATAATTTTACACTTAATATGTCCTTAACTCGATTGAAACTTTAGGAATTCTTTTACATTTATAATTATATTACTGTTCGTAATTCATTTTAATCCAATAGTTAAAACGTCCAGTAAGAAACTGTTAAATATTAAAACACCTGAAGTTCGATAAAAAGGTAAGATATAATCTGTATTTGCGGTAAAACATCAAAAAAATCTGAATTTATAAGATTATAAAATAAAAAAATTGAGTTGATTTTTGCTGTAAAAAAACGACTTGCACATGCACTAAACATAAACATAACAAAACAAGTGATACGGTCATTTAAAGTTAAAGGTAAGTAATAACAGTACATTTTAAGAGTTTCAGATTTTTATCTGGCAGTCAACACGTTCATTATATAGTGAGCATCTTAAGTCTTACCCCCCCTAACTAACTCGTTACCGGAGTCTTGTTAAGAAAATCGCCGAGACAGGTCGATTTTTAATTTCTACAATGTACATTTTTGTATGATTAGTTTACCCTTAATTTCATCCCTTACTGGAGGGGAGCAACCCTTTCGAAAAATTTAAATGGCATGGGGTGGCGAGTGATAGCTCATTTGAAAGGAGGTTTTATTCTCTATTCAACCATGCAAAAATTTTTGAAATTTGCTTCATTACGTGTTGATTTATTAATGTTTAAAAATAACAAATCCTCACAAAATAGGAAAGAAGCTAAACTAACAGTGACCTTCTAATGGCAAAAAGTCTTACTTCACGTCTGAACCAAAACCGAAATCATGCAGGGCCGAATTTTAAATCTAAGGATGAGTGCGCTACATTAATTTCCGTTATTCTGAAACAACAATTAGTCGAGAATTAATTAAACAAATTTCAAAAAATTTTACACGGTTGAATGGAGAATAAAACCCTCTCTCAAATGAGCTATCACTCACTACCCCATGCCATTTAAATTTTTCGAAAGGGTTGCTCCCCTCCAGTAAGGGATGAAATTAAGGGTAAACTATTTATACAAAAATGTACATTGTAGAAATCAAAAATCGACGTGTCGCAGCGATTTTCCTAACAAGACTCCAGTAACGAGTAAGACTTATGGTGCCCACCGTATAACCTGAATAATGCCATTTTTGAAAATTTCAAAACTTCAAGCAAAGTTTTTTTTGCAAAGAGTGGGCTACTCAGGTTAATTTGTGGCTGTATTTTATCTATAATACTCGTATAAACACTTAATTCCTGAGGAACATAAGCTGCTAGGCAGTTAAGACACTAGAGTCGATTGACATTCACGAAAAATGATTAAAAAACACTCATTTTCAGCACGCTGCTGTTAATCAGAGGTATTGACTGAGCAAATTATCAATGTTTACACTTAAACTACTATCTTTCCCCCTCCCTTTAATAATGTAGTTATCTTCAAAAAGAAAAATTTGAGAGGAAAAGTCTATAAGGCTTAAAACTATCGATTTTTTAAAAAGTCTTTATTTAAATAGGCGGAAACGAGTGCTTATAAAAATCAAACTCGTGTAAATTTTCTTCTTTGAGACCCTAAGGAATAGTTCCTCGAAGTTACACCAAAATCTAAGATGTGTCGGCTTTGCCAATTAGACGATTTTAAATGGAATGACTCTCTCTTAATTTGAACGGTGTTAGCCAATAATAGCCGAATACAAAATATACTTATAAATGAGAGCATCGAGCAATTATAGAAGATATTCTCGGTAGTCTCTTCTTTCTGTTTGCTCCCTCTAAAAGCCACATACTATAGAGGTGCTTCCGTACTTGGTAATGACTAGTCAGAATACCTGTCATCAGGGTCAGTTTATTAGAGTAAAAAATATGGAAAGTGATTAAATCTAAACTAAAACTTTTATTAGGCCGATCATATTATTAAAATTTTCAGTTTAAATACAAATAAGCATTGAAGGATGAGGTATAACTAAAATATCTACCTCTTCAACCTGTGCTACGTTCTGCAAATTAAATTACTGCACTCCTTTCTTCTCTAGACTATAGTCAAGTATTTGTTAACTGTAATGTTGTTAGGGTTACTTATAAGCTCCCTACCAATTCTGCAGCTTCTGTTGTCGTCCCACAAGGATATATTCATTAACACTTTCGCTGCCCATGAACTTCCTTAACATCATGATAAAGTCTATTCACATTTAATTTACGCCTAATGTAAACAGAAGCAGGTGGACGCTAAAATTGAGCAGGGCCGTATTTTACTTTTCCGTCTTGCAAAAATGTGTAATAAAAGAGTGTAATTGTGAAATTATTTTTTTATTACGATGAAAACATATTTTGTAAAGTAAAACTATAAAATAAATGCCATACACGGTCTCCCAGACTTTAGTGACATTTCTGGACGAAGATAGGTGAGCGACATAAACTGCGTTAACCTGCAATACAAATTAATAAATGTATTTGACTTTAAAAGAGATGATTGCATTATATTTAGTTCATTACATATGGCTACTGTGATACAGAGCATTAAAACAATCATATTATATAATTATATTGTCAAATAATTGCAAATTCTTTAATAGCTAATATATATCTACTAAAAGCATTAAAAAAACTTTAAATATAAGAGGTATTTGGTATTTGAATTTGGTATTTGATTTAAAATTGTGCATCTTAAAAAGAAACCTTTTGTATTTTTAATAACTTTTGTTCTTTATTGTTCTTGTTCTACTAGTTTTTAGATTAGACAACTTGTACCCTGTATTATAGCAATCTTCCTTACTTGACTTAGCACTATTCTGAATCGGATAAATTAGTTAGACTTGAAAGGCTATCTTCATTAATCAAAATTACAAGTGGTTCTACCTGAACCTCTATAATATTATCCAACTCCCACATTTTTACTTCAACTTTTTGGCGAACATGGTCGATACACTTTTTCCATTTTTCTGGAGAAATTAATAATATTACTTCTTCAAAAAGAATTTTAATGTCTCCAGATTTAAATGTTGA